AATACCGTAGCTGTCATTTAAATTGTTTAAGTTGTGACGATTGTCGATCCCAGGAATTTAGCAAATCAAAAACAAAACCAAAACAAAAAACCCTTCAACTGTGATTATAAATGATATAGTCAAAATCACACATCATTGTTAAATCACATAAATATTATTAGTCCTGTACGTAATTGTTAAATGATATCATGAATGTTACTTATTGTTATTGACTAAGTTGTTGTAGCACGAGAAAATTACTACCGTAAGAGATAACTCTCGGAGAACTATTGAATTACTAACTTGACCTGTGAACTTGAAATATCCTGACGAATACACTGTTACACATTTGCATGATGTCTCTGACAACAATTAAGAATACAGATATTTCTCAGTGTGTTTTGTTTTCCTTGCATCCCCCCTCCCCACCCTAAACCCCCCCCCCCCCCCCCCCCCGAAAAGGAAGAAAAAAAACCAAAAAAAAAAAAAAAAAAAAAAAAAAAAACAAACAAAAAAACTTTATCTCAGTACAGAACTCAAATTATATTCCCTGTGAAATCACCAATTCAAGAAACATTATATTGGATTAAAAACCAACACTGCTGATAGTAATCTAACCTATCATGATAACAGGTTTAGTATACCGTAAACAAATTCTACAAAACACTATCAAGGAGTAATCAACTCTTATTTGCTTGCTGTACAGTTTATAATGACAGAGGGACATATTTGGATAAAATTATGTCCAGGATAAACATACTACAAAGCTTGGTTTTAGCATTCAGTCTGATAAACGATCTGAATAAAAGTCAGTTCAAGGGGAATTGTTTTTTCATACAGACTATGTACATTGCTGTAACTATTTTACACTATCATGTTACACAAAAATGGTTTATATTGAAGCTAAGGGAGACAATTGATATTTGATTTTGGTCTACAGTCTCTGCTACTCGACACTAGTATATGTTCTGGATACGATTCACCACAAAAATCCACAGATTAGACATCGAGAAAGACAAATGCTTTCCATTCGTTGTACACAAAGGCGGTCAATTTATTTGGTATCTCGTTAAAAATGTGTTTTACTTTCTTCGGTAATGAATGAAAATCAACAGAATGCTTCCTAATTCTTGTGATTTTTACTTTGATGAAATTACTTGTTATGTGTTAGGCTCCGAAGCGTATAAGTGGTTTATATAGATACATTTAGAACGATCTCCTGAAAATTGTCATTATTACTGTCTATTGTTTAATAGCAGCAGGGTTCCTAGATATTTAAACAATGCCAGTGTAGATCCGGTTCCGAGCCAAAAAACTTTTAACAAAAACTGTCATCTGTTGTGATGTTTGCCGTCTACAAATGCCTTCCGTTAGCTTTCCAATGCCGGTCAGTTAAGCTGTAGTTGGTTTTTCCATCATCAATTTAAATTTCAATAAACAATACCGCCTATCTAGCTATCACTTAAAAACCTGCAAATTTTCCAAATGTGTTGAACTACAGCATGGATTCCATCACAACTTATCTAACGAAAACAAAATGAACAAGAGCACACTTTCAATTTTAAACTAGATAGGTCAGAAGTTTGTTAGATATCATGTATACAAGCTTTTTATTTCAAATATGGCCAAGGTTGGCTTTTGACCATTAACCTAGACCTATAACCTCCAAAATCTAACTAGCCTACTCCTGTAACTTTAAGTTTTGATTAAAGATTAATCTAGTTTATTTAAAGAACATATGGAAAACTATCTTCTGGAATTTCAGAAAATTATTAAATATACCACGCCTCCCCCCCCCCTCCCCCAACCCACCTAAAAAGCTTGGAAAACATTTTTTTTGTAAGTGACCTTGAACTTGGAAAGCTTTTCAACTGAGCTTTAAGTATGATTTTAAGTATATTTCACCTGTTTCACCTTCCATGTAAGGAAAAGTCTTTCATATGAAGACTGTAGATAATATATTTTATTAGCTCTGAAATTGTGTGACTGACAGATTTCAAATATTTCCTTAAGTCTCAATGTCATCAATTCAAACAACGTTGATAATCATTCCTCTCAGCTAGATTGGTCATTGGTCAAGTTAAATCATCTTTGGGGTTTCGAACTTGAGAACAATTTTACCATCATAAGAATGGAATACAAAAATTGTTCAGTTTATCATTAAAATTGTACACATGAACCCTGTATATCATACAAAAATTGTTCAATTTATCATTAAAATTGTACACATGAACCCTGTATATCATACAAAAATTGTTCAATTTATCATTAAAATTGTACACATGAACCCTGTATATCATACAAAAATTGTTCAATTTATCATTAAAATTGTACACATGAACCCTGTATATCATACAAAAAATCGTTTTAAAGATGTTCACACAGATTTGTGGCAATAACATGATTTTAGCTCTAACCAAACTTTGAATTTGACCAAGGACACAAAACTTTAAGTAACAATGGAAAACACAAGATTTTAATGACTAAGTTTATTTATTTACACAAATAATAAATAAAACAAAAAGTTTGATTATGTAAAACAATTCTACATAAACATAACTATCCACAACATGAAAACATACTAACAGATATGTTTATACAAACAAAATTGTTATGTTTACCAAATCTGTCACACAAGAAACTCCCCTTCCCCCAACAATCAGTCCACACATGTGTGTAGCTGACCATTAGAATTACTTGCAATTTCTATGCCAATGTTCTATAACATCCTAACTTTTAACAACAGGGCTTGTTGGACCATGTTACATAGTTGTTACACATATCTATTCAAATTCTCTGATTTGTGAACAGGAATATTAAGATCAAACTTTGGAAATAATCATTGTGGAATTTTTTCTTCATAATTTCCTACATTTTGAGACATCATGAGAGGTCAAAACATCGTAAGACACCTTCAATACATCGTAAAATATTAAATAAAATTTATCTTATCAGAGATAAACCTAAATGTGCTTATGAAACAGCTGCGCTCGTGTGTATAAAACTGTCTTTATATAGGAGGGTAAAAACTATGTCTCAGGGCAGATCATAATAGATTATGTATTAAATGTGATAAGTATATGCCTGGTAATATGACTACTCCCTAACTTTGTTTAAGAGGTTATGTGACATCGCCCTCGGCTTATTAACCTGTAATAAGCTCACGCCCTGACTTTGATTCGGAGGTAATTCTTTGGCCTCTCCACTTATTGTCCAGTAATAAGCCCATCCCCTGATTTTGATTAGAGGTAAAGCTCACATCCCAGCCCCATGCTTACTGTCCTGTAATAACCCCATCCCCTGAACTTGATTCTGAGGTAATGCTTGCCCACAGCCCCATGCTTATTGCCCTGTAAGAAGTCCTCTCCCTTAACTTTGATTCTGTGGTTGTTTCAGATTCTGAGGTAATGCTCTCCCACAGCCCCATGCTTATTGCCCTGTAATAACCCCATCCCCTGAACTTGATTCTGAGATAATGCTCTCCCACAGCCCCATGCTTACTGTCCTGTAATAACCCCATCCCCTGAACTTGATTCTGAGATAATGCTCTCCCACAGCCCCATGCTTATTGCCCTGTAATAACCCCATCCCCTGAATTTGATTCTGTGGTTGTTTCAGCCCCTTGCACTTGTCTTGTAATAAGCCCACTCTCTGACTTTGAATTAAGTTGTTATGTGACAATCCACTAGGCTCATTATAAGATAAGTACTATAAACTACAAAACGACAATATGTATCATGAATCAAATACAGATTTATTTTATTCAATGTCACGAAAAGTCAACACTTCTATAAGAAACTTGATAACTTTGATACACATTGTCAGGCCAAGCTTCTCATCATCTGTTTACCGTGACGCTAGTTTATTTAGATGTTTTACCAACAGCTTGACATAAAAAGAACTTATTTTTCACTTAAGTCATGGTTTTTCTCCATAAAAACTGTACTTTCAAGGTCCATAACCCTATTTTTTACTTTCTATTTCTTCCTTGAAAATAATTAAATAATAGAACCCTTTAAATATAAAAACTGTAAGTACTTGTATATCAAGCAGCAGATATGTGTTTTTCATCATTTGAATCAACATGCATGTTCTTGTTTTAAAATGTCTTAGAAAAATTTATAAAATTGAATTCACCTTCAGAAGGTGAAGTCTCTCCCAGGGCCTTATCTAACATTAAGTCAACAATACTCTAAGAGTACAAATAGACAGCGGGTCCTTTCCCTGCGATTAGAGAATATCTGTAAGACAAGGACGAGCCTGCTATGATTCACATTTAACCTTGACCAATGACCTTCCTTAGAATGCTATGGAACTAGGGGATAAATATGAACCAAATCTAATGAGAGGTTCCAAATATTGATTCCAAACCATAACCAGACAACACAGACAGATGTGAGAAATGATACATGTCCTCTCACAAAATGGCACAGGATTAAGCAGGTCAAGCACAACCTTGACCCCTGACCCTTAATCGCTAAAACCTCATCAGGTGTAGAGCCTGATGTTATAACACTATGTACACATATACTCAGGTAAGCCAAGTTTGTTTCTAAGTTTATGGGAGACTTGTAAGTTTTATTTTGATACATTCACTGACAAATTTTTACATGGTCCCTTTTAGCTAGTAAGATGGGACCCCACAGTGTGTCGGAAGGATATGGTAATAAAATATATACATATGTACACAATTATTTACACATTAAAAATATATTTTTTCTTATATCACTTACACATGAGGAAGTTCAACATTACATGACACAGAAAAGAATGTTTCATTCTATATGTCCTGCTGAATTCATGTAAAAGTCATATATCTCGTTCCTTCAAATTTTAGCACTTTCATAAAATGCTGTAAGCAAGAAGGATGTTTTTCACTGAACTGATGATACAGATAAATGTTTTGGAAATTTATCTCTAAAAATTCTTATTTTAAAAGTCTGTATTTTTTGCAACTGTCTTTCATTCCATCTTCGAACACATCCGAAATAAAATTCTGAGAGAAAAAGAATTTACAGCATATTTCCACAATTGATACATGTTACACAGCCTTCGGCAGTGCTGATGGTCAGTGTTGAACTTTGAACCCTGAATGAAGTGGTTTCACACTTTGATGCCGTGAAAGTCCGAGACGTAATCCTGATAGTGGTGATTTGATAGTTACACCACCTAGTGATGATGAAGGTGACTTTACCCTCCCCACACCTAATGAGACACCGGGAGACTTTGTACCAGCGCCACCTAATGAGGAACCTGGAGATCTCACACTAGTGCCACCTCGTGAGGATTTACCACTGCCGGCCATGCCTGGAAAGACAGAGAAAATCATTGTACAAGTTAAGTAATGTTACATGGATATGCATTATTACATACAAGTTAAGACAAAATAAATAGCATTTTTATCACTATAAAGAAGAACCGAGAAATACCCATTGAATATTTATAATAGTAGATATTAGGTTCAAACATATTCCAGCCATGAGTAGTGGTACATGTCGATAACACAATTTCACTAAACTGTGTTGGAACTGTCTTTAAAAACTTTTTCAAAATCTCAATATTCAGTTTCAATACAACAAAATTCTGTTTCAAGCTTCATTTCAATCAATCACTTTCATGTAAGAATTAAAGAACAACTTTTGTGGAAACAGTAACAGGATGTGTTTTCTTTGGCTTCTACGATAAACATCAATTGGAACAAGTCTTGGATCACAGTAGTTATTTTAATTTTTTTTTGCAATGCCGTGACTGAAATACTAACTTAAGATAATTACCAAAGTACGAGACACTTCAATTGGTAAAAAATTTAATGGCTTAATTATAAAATTTCCATAAGTAATTGTTAGGAACAATAGTTTTGATTGGCAGATTTATCTGGAAGTTGTTGCAATTAAGAGGTGTATATTTGTGTTTTGTGTTCTCTTTACAAGCAAACCAGACTGAAGTTTCATTCAATATAAAACGTAACTATGAACTGTAACTTAATATGACTGAATATCTTTACATCAAACAAAACCTGTCCAATTTGACATCAAACCACAGGATAAGACTTAATTCAGATCAGACACATTTCTCATTACATGTATACTAGTGGAAAAAAAGAAACCCAAGTTCTTTGTAATATATTAAATTTGACAGCGAACTATCTCCATGCACTGTGAAAATGATCTTCAGTTAAAATTCAGTCGACTGTGATCCCGCTTGAATCTGTATAGTTTCAGCAGATTTATCAAGATAGCATGCATCCAGGGTACTCCTGCACCATATATGTGCTGGTAAATCATTACAAATCGAACATTGGAACACTACTGATCAAATACACAACATTTTTTTTCAAAGCAATTGTAGAGCGAAATGCTGCGATTGAGTGAAGTTGATAGGGATGGGGCCATTGCTCTGATTATGGAGGGACATTCGCAGCATCATGTAGCCCAGCAATATGGCGTACATGGAACAACAATATCCCTTTAAGTTGGGCATCTCAGAGCCACAGAGAGATAGGGTGACCGTCCTAGAAGCGAACATCTGCATGTTACGTTGTGGCATCAAGATAGAGGCATATATCTCTTGCACCTCTGTTAACGATTTCAGGTGTTGACGGCATGCTTCACGCTTTACAGGTCAGATAGACAACAATGTGTCTTTCAATGTCATGGTGAGCGATATTCTGACTCTTACATAATGGAAAGCAACATATTTTGGGGAGGATTTGTTATGGTATGGCAGATATCTCAAGGCATGAAAACACCTCTCGTGGTTATCAGGGATCAGGTCTTGAGACCACACCTCCTTCCTCTTATCCATCAACATAACCTTGCATTGCAGCAAGACAATGGGAGGCCCCATGTTGCTAGAGACCACACCTCCTTCCTCTTATCCATCAGCAGGCCCTTATTCAGAAAAGGAATAATATCCCTCAAATGACAATAAACACCTTGATGGGGTCAATGTTAAGGAGAGTAAGAGCAGTAACTGAAGCCAGGGGTGGGCACACACACTACTGACTTGGATCAAGAAATGGCAAAGGGTACCCTTGTTTTAATGCTTTTCAAACAAATGCTGTCTGAGATACGTTAACAAAAATCATCAAAATATATTCAGTAATGATGGAAAAATCGAGAAACCCAAACAATGAACTAATCATCAATGAATCATGTAAAACAATAACATTTTCTGCCAGTGTATTTATAACAAAGTTCTACAGATTGCAAGTCTGATAAAGATTGCTGAACAACAGAATTATCTTATGTCAGTACCTGAATAGACCCCAGCCCCCTCCCCTACATTTAATTTCATTAACAATTTCACAATCTGAAATTTCACATCAAGCCAGTGACATTTGCGAATGACCCCTGATACAGGTCATTCACATCCCACTATGTCACCTGTTGCATGAAGACTTGAGGGCTTCATCAAAAGAAAAACAATTTTTTTTAACCCAGTACAACCTCCACAAGCATATATCTACATTATGATGATTTAACAATTTTTCGTTGAAACTTAAGTAGGTTTTCAGATACGGTTCACTGCTTGTTGTAGAAAATTCTCACACCATGTGCATGTGTCACATCTTTTTAATAAACTGCAGTCTAAAAGTGAAAGTTTATATTCAAACTAATGCAAGGATCACAAACTGTGCATGAATTGTCTATGAGTGTTGTGTACCACAGCATTTGTTCTATTCAAAATATATTTTTCGTCTGGCTCTACTGTATCTCACTCTAAATTATGAAAAGGTGCTATTCACTTGTGTGTCTTTTGTACAATCTTTACATGGAATATTAAAACACAAAGTGATCCCTTCCAGGTACAAAATAACATTACATAAGTCCTAACAGACATAAATCAAACTTGCATGTGTTTAAAATGAACATGTGTTTAATATGACACATGCCATTCTAGATCAGATTTCTCACCTTGAGCTGTACATTCATTCCTCATGTAACCTTCACCTTTATTCTACATGAATAAGGAGACATTACAGACACATGTAATAAGAATATCACCCAAAGGTTTAAATCAAAATATTGTTTTTTGGGGGGTTTTTTTGGCATTGATTTACCAGTCCAAAAATTTACTCAAGACTGAAAAAATTTCATGATGAATGATTGACTCCAACTTTTTATCATTATTAACGACATTCCCCGAACCTTGGGTCTTAAATCTGAGATCTTGTAAATTTGTGTTTTCTAGTCTGTTATCATATGAGCACTTGTCAGTAATAGATGACTGATTCGTGAACTGGGCCACACAAAACACAAACTCCATATTACTTATTTTCCCCTTCAGTAAAATAACATATTTTCCCCATCTAATGACTCAATTTCTCCATGATGAGTAGGACAATGTCAAACAGACAATATTCTAAGGCCTATTCTGATGTTATAATTTTATGCAGAAATCATTGAAACAAAGGTGAAAGTTGCTGTTCTGGAATGTAATAATTATATAATACAAGGTATGATGTTGATTTGGACTGCATACAATACGACTATAAACAGCCATAGTCATTTTGAGATGGGGTCTGCTTGATGTAGCTGGTGGTGACTACTTTACTGAACATCCTACTGGAGGTCCATTGCATGTCACCCAGAACATATTTGAGTACAGTGTCTTCCCACAACCATATCAACACAGAGCAGTCTGTTTCTCAGCTTCCCATGAAACATGATCTGCCACGGTTAAGGAGCATGCACCTGAGATCTTCACCTGCGGTTATGTAGGTCAATGCACTACCAACAGAGCTATCACGCAATACAGCAACTACCACTGAATCCACATAAAATTGAAATCAGAGTGTTGCTCTTTTGACAAATAAACCACAGTATAAAGGTTACAGAAAAGTCACTGAAATTGGGAAGAGTCTGAAGAATATTCTGCATGTTCCGTTTCAAGGAACCAACTATGTCTTTTCAAAACTATCAAACAGACTGTTGTTCGCTGGTTTCAGAATATCTGAATGAATCAAGATCTATGCATCTTAACACTTCAATGAAAATATTATGATATTCAGTACTGAAATGAAGGTGATTGGATTTTTTGCTAATTGTTTTACTTTTTTATAGAAAATTTGAGAAAATTTAAAAAACTGTTCATTTAAGTTTTGTGTCTTACATCAATCAACACCTGATACAGGTGTGTCAACACAAAAAAGTGAAGTTTTCTGCCATCTGGACTATTCCAATCTACTTACGACAATGCAGTCTAGGACAAATAACAAGGGAGATAACTCACATAATTTACAGACTTGAACTTTGCCAGGTCAGCTTAAGCAACCCTGTTTGCATGACTTTTTACATCCATAGAACTAGTCAGTACTTCAGTATGTATTTGTGATCTATTTTAAGAAATATTGACCTAGAACTTTTTTTCTTGTTTACACATCATCTATTGCACACTTGACATATAGGAATCTTTTTTATATCACTGCATAATTTAGACGCAACTAAATTTTGATCTGATCTTCTCACCCCATTGTCTCCCCTTATCACCACTTCACTTGTAAAATTTAGTTGAGTGTTTGCTCCTATGAGAACAGCATTGAGTTCTGTCCCCTGGCTGATGAGTTTTATGGAACAACAGCCATAGATATTCATTGTATTTATTCCATTTATATAATTTGTCCCTTTGTGATGTGATGAGCAAACTTGCTGATTAGATGTATAGTGTTGAAAGGAACTAAATCCCAAAGATATACCTGTATACACTGTATCACAATTATGTGCAAAATTAGAATTTTAAAAAAAATACAGATTCACTCCAAATACAGCAAGAACAAGGACAAACCCACCTGAAAAGCAATCTCAAGCCTTTTTATCTGAAAGGCAATCCCAACCAAGTACCTTTGGTAAGGTTATTGTACAAAAACAATTTTTTTCTATTTTAAGTAACAGTGACATTAACCTTTGACCTTCACACCAGAAAAGCAATCTCAAGCAAGCCCCTTTGGTAAGGAAGCACTGCATGAAGTTTGAGTGTAATTGTCAAAAAAAAACTCAAGTTATTGCATGAAATCCAACCTCTTATATGGTAACACTGTCCTTGACCTTTGACCTTTAAATCTCAAAATCTATCCATAGCCAGCACTTTGGGTAAGGAAGCACTGTATGAAGTTTCAGCTTGACCGGCCAAAGTGAACTCAAAAATCCTTTGTGTGGATGCTGCCGCCAATATAGTAATACCTATATATCACCTATGGCAGGCAGGCAACACGGAAATGGTAGTTCCTACTCCCTACTTAATGCTCAGAATTACAGTAGAGTATGGAGTAGTTTGCCCATTGTCAGTATAATGTGATGGAGTGGTGTGTTCTGCTGGTTGCCTTTGGCAGTATACTTCAGTGTAATGTCAGTGTTGTGCTAAATGTTTCACTAGTGTTTGGAAATGGCAGTTTTTAGAGGTAACAAAAATATGGTGAAAATAAAATCCCTGCAAAATATAACCAGGTTTGATGTCATTTGATTTATATGGGAAAACCTCATCACAGTATATGTGAGGGGAGACAACTCTCCTATCAGTTGAAATAAAGTGAACAAATATTGATAAGAACACATACCTGGTGGTGTCCACTTGGGTGCATTTCCTCCCAAACTCCGGCTTACTGGACTGGACATTGTGCGACCAATGGACGGAGACACAGACTTCCTGACAGCAGTCACTTTACTTCTGGGGGCAACAGATTTAGTCACAGGAGCTGCTGAAATGTGAAAATTACATATATCTTCATAAAAAAAATCATGGAGGGACATTAATAAAAAAAATCTGCAAATAAACTTTGAACATTTAAACCAAGCTAAGACTTAATTAAATTATCTATGGTTGAAAGATTAACAGGAAAATATGTTAACACTGCTAGAAACTGTAGTTTTTTGTATTACCATCAGTTTTCGATATACTGTCACCATAAAATCCAGCTACATGTATGTATACATGTTTGTATAAAATTTTCTCACCTTTAGTTTTGGATTTGGCTGAAGATTTTGATTTTGGAGTTGTTTGTTTCTTTGGTACTGGTTTCCCATTCTTTCCTTTGGCTTTTTTCTTTTTACCATATCCTTCAAAATCACTGTCATTCTCCTCATCATAATCTTCATCACTCTCATCACTCACATCATCATCTTCATCTGGATCAAATGCGCTTTCTAAAATGTTGATACAGAAACATTCTACAAGTTTAAAGCAAGGTCATAAGCAGGAACTACCAGGTATATAAAATCTCGGAAGAAATGTGACGAATTTTCATATTGGTAATAACATACCTCTAGGATTCCTTCTAAAAAGATAAAACCTAAGAAAGACATATCTGTTAATTTGGTATGATTTACTGCTAAAAAGAACAGGGATTGATTCAGTTCTTTCTATGAACTAATTTACAGATGCAACAATGAACAGATAAAATGGTTTTATAAGCAATATTAGACCAAATATTTTAAGCATAACTGGCGTTATTTCCAGCGATGTATCCTTAAAGCTATAAGTTGAATCTCAATATGGGGTTCAATTCTTCCCAATATCTTGAATTAGTGAATTCGACAATTTACGTTTTTAATGTGAAATAGAATTATCACAAACATCTGTATGATTCCCTGAACTTTGACCCTATAATATTACATCTTATTCTTATCTGTCGAGCTCACAGTTACAAAACTCTACTATATAATTACAGTATTTATAGAATACAGCCACGGCTGCTACAAGTTTTACATGTGTTTTGTTTAACCTTACTGTCAGACTATGACTAGAGGTCACATTTGTGGCCTAAAACATTGGCTTAATAACAATGATTTAAAACTGAAGTTTGTTTATTCTAAAATTGCAGAACAAGTTACGATAATGATAATATAAATTTGTAACAGAGTGGTCAGTTTTATTGAATTATAAAATGTTACATATCAAATGTGTTGAGATGGCTAATTATCAGTGTCTTGGTCATTTTGGGAATTTGTTTGTCCGTTTGTCTGTGTTACTTGTTACATGGCGTGTGTTTCATAAATTTTGTGTAATATGTTGCTATTTTCTGTGTTAAAGTTTACACCCTGTGACTGATACTGGGTGCAGTAACTCCAACTTTCCTCCACCATCCAAACCTGGCACATCCTTAAATGACTCTGGTTACTAAGAAAAGGATGTAAAGCAACAATCAACCAAACCCTGTGACTGGAGTCCTAAGTCTATGTTTTTGTCTTTATCTCTATTTGTCAGTTTTTATATACTCTTTGTTTTTCAGTCTTAGCAAAACCATTGTTAGGTCAGTTAAACTCCTGCCTACCAGTCTGACCACAAGCTATTTCCTGATCATCATCTAGGCAGTTAGAAAAAAATTAGTTAAACCTTGTACAGAGGAGGCAGCTTAACATTACAGTAGCATGGCTTTGTGCCCTACACATAATGTCTTATGTTGTAATGTAATCTTGGCTTCTTCCCTTGTTTTGTTCAAAATTGTCGTCAAACTAAAGAACAAAGGTCTTGACTAAGAAAACTTAATCACAGGATGTGATTGTTTGTTATTCTATCATAAACCAACTCAGCTACAAATGTTGGCCCAAATGTATAGTACATGGCAAGTGGTCAAAATCTTACTGAGAAAGATAACCAGAGTATTTGGAGAAACCCACATAGTCAAGCATGTGAGGCCTTAATCAAAGAATCAAGCCCCAGTTGGCTGATGAGTGTTACCATGGCACCATCTTATAACCCAGCAATGATCTATTTATATTACCTTATGAAATAGAATTGATGAGAATAAGAAATATCACATACCACTGTCACTGTCCACCACTGGTTTTTTGCTTGTACCCCTTCGTCTTTTTTTGGGCACTTCCTCCGACACAGAATCTAACACTTCTATGTCATCGTCTAACATCTGGCCTTAAAGAATAAAAAGACAGTATACAGAATCATAATAACAAGACACACAGGGCATGGAATAATGAAGAATGCAAAATATATGCGGATGGCAATGCTTTGAAACAAATGACTTTGGATATACTCACCATTGACCAAGACTGATTTAGCTGTAGTCACGTCCTTCGGTTCGGCATCATTCACTGCCACAGCTGGATTTGGTGTATCTGTATGATGAAAAACATAACATGTTGTCAAGGGGATAATATTTGTTGTGAAGGAGTGTACCAGTTTTCATGAAGTGGACACATATTGTCATGGACAGGACACTGGTTGTCATGGACAGGACGACAGGACACTGGTTGTCATGGACAGGACATATATTGTCATGGACAGGACACTGGTTGTCATGGACAGGACACAGGTTGTCATGAAGTGGACACAGGTTGTCATGGACAGGACACAGATTGTCATGAACTGGACACAGGCAGTCATGAAGAGGACACAGGTTGTCATGGACAGGACAGATTGTCATGAAGAAGACACAGATTGTCATGGACAGGACACAGGTTGTCATGGACAGGACACAGGTTGTCATGGACAGGACACAGGTTGTCATGGACAGGACACAGGTTGCCATTTAGAGTACACACTGTCAAGTAGGTAATACGTGTTGTAATAAAAATTATACAGAGTAAAGATAACTCAATCCAACAGGTCGGGGGGCAGGTTCCTCAAAATACTGTAATCCACCACTAAAGACTACGGCGTTGGCTCTATATCTTCATAAAAATTATACATGTAACTGGGGGTCTAGATGTTAAAAGAGATGGGTGTTGGGCTAGCTATACCTGCTGTAATTTGTTGTAGGACTAAGTGTGTGGCTATCTATACCTGCTGTGATTGGATGTAAGACAATGTCACCAATCCATTGGACAAGGCCCAGCAAAGGGTAGAATCAACAAAAAAACAGCATCATCATCATCTTGGATGTAAGACAGTTGGGATGATTAGGATAAATTGGGAGAAGTGACTAGATATGCCAGCTATGACTGGCTGTAACACAGGGGATGTGGCTTGCTTTAACATTTATGGTTGGCTGTAGGACAGAGGGCATGAGTAGATATACCTGCTGTGATTGGCTGTAAGATAGGGGGAGTGGGCTCCACTCTGAGCTTGTTTAGTTCATCTGTAGCCTCCACACTAGCTGTGATACTGAAAGGTTCACTAACTTCATTAGAGAGAGAAGGAGGCAAATCAGTTCCTTCGGTAGATCCCTGGGATTCATGCATGGACATCTCTAGGGCCAGCTGTAGCTCCCTATCAAAGCACCTATCATTGGGAGGCTTCCTGTGGGATGTAAATATAAATAGGATAAAAAAAATGTAAAGAACATGTCCAGCAAGTAAGGGACATAACTCTGTCAGCCTTCCATGACTAACATCAGGTAGTCTTCTCAGTGGTATGTGTGTCTTGTATATGGATGGTTTTTTTTACCGCAAGACATTCAAAGGTTCTTTCTTCAAGGAAGTATGTAAGTTGCACTTCTCTGTATCATTTATGATTTTTCTTCACAATTTATTGCAATGGTTTGAAAACAGCATTTATTTTCTAAATTTTGAGAGATTGACTTCTTAAAGTTCAAAAACACCTGACAAGTGAGATATTTATATCTTTAAAGGTTTTTGCTCACAATTTTTTTATAATGCCATATTTCATCTAAAAATGATGCTATATTAGATATAGTTCATGGTATCCCATCTCTCTCAGCACATAAATGATTGCTAAAGCTGGCCTTATCTCCTTTGGTGAGTCTAGTGTATATGCATATTTTGACACCTGACTTCAGGAAAATAACTAGTTTTTGTCCTACTTCAGTATATGTTCTCAGTGACAAAGCATTACATTTCAATGCTAAATAAAAACTGATTTTTAGCAAAATAATTCAAGTGGTATAAGAAGGGATAACCAGAGATGTCTCTGTCCAAACAAACCCCTCCAGACACACGACAGCATATTGAAGATTATAAACTGAAGCACTTCAAGCATGTGATTAACAATAGGAGTTAGATGGCTGTTTGTTTCTTTTATGTACCCATTATAATCACACTGCAAAGAAAACAGAAAATGTTTGGGGATCACTGTTTTGACAAGTACAGCAGCTTGCTCCATTAGTGTCAACACACCCACACTATGTACATCTATACATATAAATCAGCCATTTCTCCTGCCTTGGAGATAATTTTATGATTGTAAATCATGTATTAAATTTTTTTTCTTGTACTCTTAAAAGTTTATGTGCACATAAATATCTTGACTTGTGTATGCAAATAAAATTGTAACATTTCCGTCCAGCCAAAGCATGTATGTGATATAGACATTCGTATTGTAGAAGAAGAGTCATTTAGTTTATAAAATTTTACAACTGAATGTCATTGGGATTCATGTACCCCGGTATTTTATCAACTTGTTCTGGATATCCACACAATTCTCTTGTTTACATTACGATTGTTGACACACGTATACATACATATATAACACTTTAACTCTTGCTATATGTTTGTGCGTCACAAAACAATTTATACCTTCAAAACTGACGAGCCAAATCATGAAAAATCTTAAACACTTGTGTAATCATATTCTATGTTAATATCAAAAAGTTATTTTAAGACAGTAACAGCTTTTCATACCACAATGATATAATGTATTCTTGATATGTACGTACATGTATAGTTGAATATTGCTGACTCATAATCATCTGATGTAGATATTCCACTGACATGACTTCATTTTAAACATTTTTTTGCTCAAATTTTTGGATGATATGTAGCATTTTGGTAAAATATTTCACTTTCAATCAAGGATATCTTGAAAAAAAAAATCATAATATGAGAAGTGTCTGCCTTCTACACAACTGTCTACATGTTAGACCTGGTCAGTCAAAGTAATACTTTGATGTCATGTGTACCACTTTACAGGTCATTGAATTTCTCACTTGTCAGTAACAAGCACTTTCAACTGCCTAAATTATGATGTAACAGAATTTCACAAAAAAAAAAAAAAAAAAAAAATCATGGCTAGAACTCTTTGATAATCCTTTGTGTCAGCTACTTAACAAGTTTAACTATTGTATATCTATTCAATGGTAATTTTGATTACTTTTGAAATTCAAATTGGTTTTACATATGCAGGTTCAGAACTGAAAATAGATAAGAATGACTTAACCAAAACAATTCTCTCAATTATACAGTACCCAGAAACAATTACAAACATAACAATTCAGCTGAAGCTGGGTCAGGTTACAAAATGTTAGCTCTCCTATTGTGGTATGTATGAATAAAATTAATTCTATTTGATTTATTTATATACATGAAGATACTCTATATGCAAATTGGTTGCAAATTAAATGTAAATAGAAATAAATATTCATGAAATCACTAAGTTCTACTTATAAATCCCACCACTGAGAGTCCTACTTGCAGGTCCTACCTGTAGCTCCTACCTGTAAGTCCTGCAATTGTAGGTCCTACCTGTAAGTCTTGCAATTGTAGGTCCTATTTGTAAGTCCTATCATTATAGGTCTTACCTGCAAGTCCTACCTGTAGCTCCTACCTGTAGGTCCTACCTGTAGCTCCTACCTGCAGGTCCTACCTGTAGCTCCTACCTGTGGGTCGTAACATTAACTGATATTACACAAACCTTATCTCCTACCTGTAGGTCCTACCTACACAAACCTTAGCTCCTACCTGTAGGTCCTACCATTATCTGATATTACACAAACCTTAGCTCCTACCTGTAGGTCCTACCATTATCTGATATTACACAAACCTTAGCTCCTACCTGTAGGTCCTACCTGTAGCTCCTACCTGCAGGTCCTAACATTAACTGATATTACACAAACCTTTTTTTATTGTTTTCCTTTTCATTGTTTTTCATTGCCTGTTTCTTTAAATTGTTTTCTTTGTTGGTTGTTTTAATCTTAGATGTTTTTGCCTTCTTAGCTGGAGGTGGAGTGCTGTCCTTGAAATCTTCTGATGAAACAAATAGAAGAAATACCTCATCATCATATACTAGAAAAAACAAAAGATCTGTAGACATGTGTAACAGCTAAAGAATTTTAAAATATTCAATTTTTAAACACATTAAATTTTGAATTCTTCAGGGTATTTTTTTTTCATTTTAATCATTTGACATTTCTATTTCCTGAATGAAATTTTTTACAGGATTGTACATTTCATTAAGACAAAGAATAACTAGTTACAAATGACATTTTTTACTATTAACATTTTATTCATGAACCAATTTCTATACCTGTCATTGACATTAAGTTTGGTAAGAATGTAAATTAACCATGAATAATTGTGTTTAGATATTCTAAGCCCTTATGTTAATCTCTATTGTATACCAGGACATACTTGTAATACTTTTTATTTTATTTCCTTATCTTAGCATATGCACTACAACACAAACAATACAATTTTTATATCAATACCAAAACTTATTTACATAAATATAATTCTCACCTTTTGAGTACACACGTGATGAATTTTCGGTATATGCTCAAACTTCTTAAGAAGTAACAAATTTGCATATATTGTATATTTATAAAATTAATGAATTGTATATTATGATCACATCCATAGAGAAGTAAAAATTACTTACCATCAAAGTCATCAGCATCATTTCCTGTCCCAAAGACAGCATAGTTGACTTTCTTTGAAGACCTAAATTGATATTAAAAACAAATATTGATTTAATAAATCATTGAATTTTGAGGGAGGATATCAAATCCCCAATGTATGTGCTTCATCATACATACACTGTACACCAGTTAGTATATTTAAATACATGTAAAATATGTCTCAATCAAGTATCATTCTATTATAATTTTATTCAGGTACATTTCCAGAATATTTTATAAAATTTTAGAAAAAATCTCACTGTTCCATGAAAAGAAAAAAGTGTGATGTGTACATGTACTTGGCATCTACAATGAATAAAGATTGGTAAAGAAAATCAAAAGCAAGCTGTCAGTCACCTGTAAACAAGAGGCCCACAGACCTTATCAGTCATCTCACTAGAAAGACACACAATTGTATTCCTATTATTTTTCCTCAAGCATGAAACTACGTAAATATCATGACCAAGGACCTATTGGTTGCTGAATTAAGAAATTTCAAGTTCTCAACAAAGTTGACCCTAGTGACCTCGATAGTCAGTCAAGGTCAATCCTTTGAATAAATGTGGTAACTTGCCATCCAATTATGTTCATAGCCATTATCAATAGCCATGACCTTTTTGTTAGTGAGAAGGAGTTGTTTCAAGATATTAAAACAAGTGACCCCTGTGATCTTGAAAGTGGGTCAAGGTGATGCTACTGGTCCAATATCAGCATCTTGAGCCTTTTCATTTATAAGAAGTTGTTTTAAAAATTTTAACACATGTGACCCCTGTGACCTTAGAAGTGGGTCAAGGTCATTTCCTTTATCAAAGCATGTTACAGTCCTAATATCAAGAGTTAAACTTAATTTATTTTACAACAATTGCAAAACAAGTTTTTCGAACTTATATTAATCACTCTTGTTGGCCTGAATGGAAGTCGGCAAGGGGTCTTACTGTGAGAGAAAACTTGAATACCACTGGAAAACCCACATGGTTCGGCAGGTGACCCCGTACCTTTACACATCCATTCCGGGAATCAAACTCTGGGCATCTAGGTAAAAGGCGACTGTGTTACCACTGCACCACCTCACCAACCTAAGATAATATAGCAACCCTCGGCCTTTTGTATATCAAAAAGAATTTGTTTGAACTGAAAGTTTATGAATGGCATATGATGATGGATGAAACATGATGACTATAGGTCATCCTGACCCTTCAGGTTAGATGACCTAAAAGATGAGATATATGATAAAAAATTATTTTTTTAAAAACAGATGGGTTAGGTGATGTGTATGGATTGTAGATGACATGTTCATGGTATTTTATGTATGATAATTAGTATTACATGAGGGTTGTTTACAATTTCGCAAAGATTCAGCAAAACATCTCTGCATCAGGTTACAATCTAATTTTAATCATGATAAGCATTTCAATTCCATGGAAAGCAAAGCTCCTACGAGTGCCAGTCTCAGAGATTCCTCTATCAAAACCTGAAAATAATTTTCCTCTGTTGTAAAAACCCATGCATACAAAATTCATGTCAGACCAAATGTTTTTAATGTTCTAATTATTTGTCAGAGACTTAAATTTAATACAAAATTAGAAAATGTTCGCTGATGTGCTGCAGGGTTTGAAATCATGTGCAACAGTCATTTAAAACACCAGTTCTGCTACAGAAATGATTGAAATTTACACTGATATAATGTACATACACTGGCTATCTCTCTGAACATTCAGTTTATATGTTGGACTATATCTAGTTCTATAAAGCATTTGAGTAAATAAGGATTCATCTGTCCAATGTCATTTACAACATGATTTGCCACTTGGAAAAATAAAGGCCCCTTCAGCACTGAAAGTGTGTTATGGCAAACTTATAAGGGGATGTGTTGTAGAGGATTGTGAGCCCTGCTGGGTGTTATACTTGTTATAGGGAATGGTGATATGTAATTGGGAATTTTGTGTTATTCATTAAGATGTGACCTTATGAGGATGGACATCATATGCTATATACTGATGTGAAAGAATACAGAAAACCCATTCCTGTTGAATGCCCCAACAGAAATTGTACCAACTTCTAAGAGTATCCTGATGTTTTGCTCGGATTACTCCCAACTCGGTTCACACCATGTGATTTCGCACCTAGCACCATTCTCAGCGTGACGTTTCGCACGCAGTGCCAAGACTCTTCACATCCTCAATGTTTTAGATAAAACAACCTCTGTTTATATGTATATTGTGTTAGTATATATAATATATATGTTGAGCTAATTTCAACCAGGAAGTGAAGACATGCTATCTAAACTACAGTTACCTCCCTGTAACCTTGGTTTCCAATGATATTTAGGTACAGGTAAATGTAACAATCTCCTGCAAGTAAGAAATAATTATCCCTTACCAAGATGGAACCCACAAAATCAATACTTCTGTGTTACACAATCTGTTACTCAATCCATATTTACCATGTATTTCTTCAGTATTGACAAACTAGCATTATTCATTGGGGCTAAAACGTCTTTTTATTTTGGGGCAAACTGTCTGAATTGAGTGTGAAACGTCATTATCCAAAACAATTTAAGGGCAAAACAACTGACACTTGTCTTGGGCATGATCATAATGAGGTAAATCAACAAATCTACCAACGGAGCCAGAGAAAAATTCTCTGTCTGCTGAGTGAAAGAGACCATACTTAACACTATGTACAAGCCACACTGACCGGGTTCCTTTAACACTACTCCCCCAATTCTTATCCAAGATTCTAAAAACCATGATCCATGGCACTAATTTCGAAATAACAAGGAAAATACTCATTCATGCCAAATGTCCGACTGCATTAGAACTCGGGTCTCCAAGGTATCAACTGAGCCATCTTCTAAGTGACAAAGACATTTTAACACATGACATGTACAAGTCACACCAATAATACAGAAGAATGCTGTATGTGTGCGATGAGGTCGGGTGTGGCGGGGAGATTAATTGATCGTCCTTTTTATATATGGACGACGACGAGCCGTGGAATAGGTGAAAAGACAGTCAGATTTGCAGATGTGGGATACACTTGGATACCAGTATAATCAGACATAATACATGGAAACATCACACTTAAAATTTGGGTAGCTTAAGGAATTGAAACCTTTCTGGTCTTCTGTCTGACATTTTGTTAGAATATTTCCATTGAAGTTTCGTTTATGTTAGGAAAATAGCATCGTATCCCTCGAGAGTCCAAATTTCCCTCCACAAAGCAATCCGGAAGTTGACATACATTTTGTGCATAGTTTCGTATTTTTAAATATATTGGTAATAACATCTTTTCTACTTACAAGTATGAAAGAAGGGAAACACTCAAAACAATTAAACACATTTGTTTGAATTCAGAAATTCGTGTCATCTATTTATTATGTTCAATGTCCAATTTCTTTTTTTTGTTTACTGTCGTTAAAAGTTGACTTCCGGTTACGTGGGTTGAGAGCTGTCTTCTGCCGTCTGTATGAAAGATCGGTATGTATCTAATTTCACTTTTTAATGGTATTTTATTAAAACTGAATTAATATTCTGATATGTTGAAGTTTGTTCCCCACTACTATGATGTTGGTAAAACCGAATATATCAACAAATTATAACTGGAAAACCACCCAATTGTTGTAGTTTGCATATCATTTGAGCAAATAACACAGGAGCACGTTTCACTGATCCTGTGATCCTGTGTCTGAAAAACACAAAAGTATATTAAGGGTAAACAGGGACGTATAATACAGATATATATACGTCCCTTGAGTAAATAAGATATTTCATTTTTTACTAAAAGATGAAATGTTTAATTTTACAGTACTGTACGTATATACCTTAAGTAAACATTGTCGATATTGCACTCCTTACAGCTTGAAAATGGCGTTCGTTCTATAGTACTATGCTGCCACCAGCTGAAATGTCAAATTAAAAGTTGATGCTTAATGGGATTTTCTCACACAGTTTGTACAGACAAGCTCCAGCTTACATGCTCAATTCTGTTAACTTCTAGTAAGTTTGCATTTACATACACTTATTCAGGGTGCATGTTTATGTGTTTCACCAAGAGGTAGGTATCTTCTGGGCAGTTTACTCTGTCTTAAACTGAAAATAAGATAATTCAAAAACTAGAAAGAGAGAAATGAGCCTAGAGTAATTTGAAGAAAATGGTAATTCAAAATGAAAAAAGAAGAAAAAGATAAGAGCAAAAAAGGGACAGAAAACAGACTTACACAGAGACTAAGAAATGATATAGGATATTCAACTATTTTCAGGACTCAGATATTTTAGTCCTAGGCTCATGGTTTTCCTTTGGGAATTTTACAACTAAAGTTGTAAGGTAAAAATATATAACTGTCAAAATTTTCAAGTAGTGTTCAGGACTTGTTGACAATTGGCTATTCAAGTATAAAGTGTTTATTTGTGGTTCACATGAAAAAGGAATTTGATCATGTGATACTTGAATGTCAAGGTTGAGGGGAAGACCATTCATATGTCTGCATTTTCGTATAGGCAAGGGAAAACATATATTCCTGTGTCCCCAACAAGGAATCAAACCTTGGTCTCTGGGTTGATAATTTACCAGCTCTCCAACTGAGCCATTGAAAGAACCATGGTTCTTCAGCTGAGTGACAGCTGTAGACTATTTAACATATATATATATATATATATACACACACACAAAAGCCACACCAACCCACTCCTTTTACAATTTGTTTAAATAGGAAACAATGAATACCGTTCTAAGGTTGTTGTGATTGACCCTGACTGGTATGAAGTATCATTAAGACTATTGATTTATGTATATAATTTATATATAATTATATTATATCTGTTACTTATAATGTCACATCCATGAAAGTCAAGACCAGTAGGCCAAGCAGTCACCAAGCCATCAAATTACTGCTATTACTTAAAGTTACCCTGAATATTTTACTAAATTAATCTTTAAAATACACTGAATATATGTATTATAATAGAACAGTTCAAGAAAGTGTGAATGTCATGGTTGATACTATTTCCATGATATTGTGTTTTATCTGCAATGCACACCTTTGACTCAAAAACGATCACCTTGATAATGGTGGCCCACACCTGTGACGTCTTTAAGTTTAAGACCTATAGAAATATACTGGGAACCTTCAATTGTATGTTCGATATGCAAGCATTTTAACTGCTTGTGTCACATATTTTCTATTTTCACTTACTTGTGTAAGTTATATCTGAAGTCCTACGTACATATATAACTTTTTACAATTTTAATGATGAAATGAGTACCTATTGGGAAACAAGCCATGTACCATTTTCAGGTGTACAAATCACACGGGGATGTTTCCTGATCATGAGTGTTTTTCATACTTCATTAATCTAAGATTTAGTAACTGCAAATACTATGTTTTTTAGCATTCAATTGGTCACTAAAAATATGCTGAAAACTTAGTTTATACATCATAAAGCAACCAATTAAAAGTTCATTCAATTAACGAAAGCCTACCTCACCCTCTTCTCTACAAAATGGATAAGATAGTAATGAGCAACAGTTGGTATATTTTGATCTCCAGTAATAAGTCTGATACAATATGTGATTAAGTATGTAGTATTTGTAACATAAATTGTCATGTAAACACTGTAGTTGCATTAATTAGAGATATGGAGAGGAGGAAGATTTGTTACTTTTAATCCAGAGATACACAATAAATGTCCAATCTAATTTTAACAATTTTGCAGAGAGAGAACTGTCCATTTTTTTTAACTGGTCTTTATTTTAGAACAACACCCTAGATAATTAATTAAGAAAACACAAATATATAAATTGTCCTTTAATCAAGCATACATGCCATACATATAATTCATTATATTTGTGAACAAACATTTTATTGACAGTGACTCATACAAAGATATAACATAACAACATGTGTTCAACTCCTTTTTTTTTTGCCTTTTTTTCTCATAATTTTGTATTTTTATTATATTCCTTTTTTTTTAAAAACCACAAGTCAAATAAACTAAATGAACACTGAATCTCTTGAAGAACAGGGTAAAAGAAAGAACATCGTTAGATGTAATTGTTCATTCTTTGGAGTGAGTCACTGTTCACTGCCACTTTACTCTATTTCTTACAGTGTTGAGTGTGATTATTTCTTTCATTTAATTTTTGTCATAATCTAATCATAAATCTTGAAAATCAGTTAATTTTAATCTGAACTTCATATTTTTACAGGCAAACAATTATCACAAAGACAGCTGTAATGATGGGCATTTCATCTTAAGAAAAAATGGTCTACATTGAATAAAGATTTCTTTGCCATGGCTATCACTTCAGGACTGTTAACCATCGAATGTATAGGCGGTCAGCATTTAGAAAAGGTATGTATGAACATGCATTCTGAATATTTTGAAAAATGGATTTGTGAGAGTTAATTCTCCATTTATATTTTTTTTTTTTTTTTTTGGTACCTGGCATGTTCATGAATCAGTTTTATTACAGTATTTTTAAGATGTATATTTTTGGCTGCAGTGACCTTGAATGTTCCTCAATGTTTATAAGTAATATATTCTGGAAATTTGAAACTTAAACTTATTCTAAGAAATGTATATTTTCCAAGTTAAAAAATTTCTTCATAAAAATATTTTTGCCAAACTCTATTAACAGTTTCATTGTTGTGACAAATCACAAACAAATCATTCATATCATGATTGAAATATTGATTTCTACTTGTGTTAAAGAATATTTTTGGTGAACTTATGTTTTGATAACTTAACTTTTCTTGACTAACATGTTAAGCTAATGATTTTTTAAAGAGCTAAGCTTAAGTGAGCTTATTGTTCAACATTGTCAGCTGGCTGCAGCAGCTGGTTTCAAGACTGTTAAACAGAATGACTGAGATGGCTTCAAATAATGATAGGCCTTAGATTGAATTGCTATATGTAAATATCAAGTTTGGAAGATCACTAGTAATTATGCAATATATAAAATCATTATGTGCCATGTGTTATAATATATTGTTAAATCATTAGTTAGCTGACAATCTCATTCATTTTTGCTGTCTGTCATGATATTTATTAGACTTAATTGTCAGTGTGTCACATGACACACGCAGTATGTTATTTACATGTGTACAGATAGTTTTATTTGGCATCAGTGACGTCAGTTAAATCATCTAGCAAAGTAATAGTGACAATGATTGTGTTTTCATTAGCATGTTCAATACAGCACTTTAATTTCTTCTTCATATTTCTGAATTGTTAAAACTATATCAATACCTGACGTAACATGATAATAAGAAATACTATTGTAAACCTAAAACTATGCATTTGTATGGGAATCTATTTCCAAAACAAAATCATTCTCATGCACATGGATAAAAGTTCTTGCTTATTTCAGCAAGTCTTGATTCATGTGAAATAAAGAATGTGTTGATGCTAGATTTTGATATCTAGATGCAAAATCCAGATTGGCCAAATACTCTACAGAGTTATTGCTTACATTTTTTTGTGGAAAATATGAAGCCCCAAAAATGTGTTTTTCCTTTTTTTCTATAAAAACCTTCATAAAGGGGCTATGATTATACATTGCAAAACATACATGAAACAATTAAAACAAATGAGAACATGTAGATACTGACCATATTTATCCTGCATTAAGTTCAAGAGGCAGACCCAGAAAACTGACTCAAAGTCAAGGGATGGCTATGCTTATTGCAGAACAACTGAATAGTATTTGTCTGTAATTCTTGTAATTGGGGCTTATTACCTGGCATGGACTTATACTCAGAAATGGGTTGATAACTGGACATGAACTTATTACAAGGCATGGGCTTATTCTTGGCATGGCTTCTTGTTAGAGATATATAGTAAGGATTCTTTCACTCTGCAATCTGAAACAGGGATGACAATTAGAAGTGGTTAAGAGTGTAACTTAGCATACAGGGACCATTTAGCAGGTCAAAATCTAACTTGGATTGTACAGTATCAATGAAAAACAGTCTAATTTGTATAAACTCATGACCAATGTCAGTCAACAATGTGCTATAAATAGAAACAGTGCTATGGTATACATTTAATGTGCCATTGTACTTGTCAGACAAAGGTATTCAGTAATCACAGTGTTTTAGGATTTGACACTTCATGACCTTGACACGACCACACTAAAGATCATGTTGACAATTGACACAATCTTGTTAAAAATATTTAAACAGCTAACATAATGACAGATATGATTTGATTATTATATGTGAATTTTTAGTTATGATCAGTTGCCAATATATTGTTTTAATTTTATTGTTGTTATATCATTATTATCATTATAGACATATATATTTACAATGAAGCCTGCTTTACAGGCCACCTGTACAAAACAGACACCCATCTATAAAGGCCACTTTTCTCTTATTGGCCTTTGTAGAAAGGTATCTGTTTGTGATTGTCATTTTCTGACGTACTTTGACAAGTTAATCAAGATTCATTGCTTTCAGTCGTTTTACCTTAATTTGATGTTAGTGAGAATTGTTTATTTGCAGCTACATTTATTTAAATATATCATTATATTTCACAAACTGGATATAATGCAGTCTTATTTGTATCATATCCTCAAGTTTTTTCCTCCGAAATTTTTTATTTTTCTCATTGATTTTAAAACTTGTTCTGTTTGCTAACGGAAGAAAAGTGAACTCCGAAATAATTTGTGATTTGTAACGAAAATACATTTCAATACAGGTAGTGATATTTGAGAACGGTATGTGCTGTTATAATTGTTTGAGGTTGTATTGTATTAGCCTATTGTTGAATCTTGACAGTAGTTTCTATTGAAATTCATAACACACAGTGTATGGTATGTATATTTCATGCTGTATATATAAATGTCTCGATAGCTTACAGTCTTTGTCTCTAGTGGCAGACAACTTTCTCTGACCATTGTTGAAAAAGGCTAAAAATAAAAAGTGCACTGAAGCGATAGTACACACACAGATAAATACAATTTTTGTGTGCTGCATACCTTGTACATATTTGTTTATGCAGTTTGAGATGAATGCGTTGATTACGAGGAGATGTTGACGTGTACAATGGCCAGCTTTGTCTTTGGTACAAGGAAATGGATAAATTGTTTCACAGGTAGAGTGCTATACAAACTAACTGTATTGTATAATTCTCTATATAGCTTCAGATTAAAGTTGCCAGCATTCTAATAATGAAAAAAAAAAACATGCACATTAAACATTTCCTTGTATATATACAAGTATTCATGTACTTTCAGGGACTGCTTTGTTGATAAGTAATGTCAACAGTAATTTAATTATTCGATTGTAAAATTCTCAGTGATCCTACAGTCACCACTAATCTGGTTGTCCCTGTATCTAGTCACCACTAATCTGCTTGTCCCTGTAACTAGTCACCACTAATCCGGTTGTCCCTGTATCTAGTCACCACTAATCTGCTTGTCCCTGTATCTAGTCATCACTAATCTGCTTGTCCCTGTATCCAGCCACCACTAATCTGCTTGTCCCTGTATCTAGTCACCACTAATCTGGTGTTTCCTAACAAGTTGTTCTGATTTTCAAGACTGACTTTTCTAATCAGATTGTCCAGGATCTGATAATTGGTTTCTGAAGGACATCAATAAATATTTGTATGATGATGTGTATTGTTATTTACAAATTCTGTCCATGTGATACAGTCTGTGATTCGACTGATTTTTATACATCAGTTACATGATCTTGGCCCAATATTTTACGAGCATTTGAAGGATTGTATCCACGTAGAGATTTGAGGTGTCATGGTGACCCATTATGATCACCTTTGTCCAGTGTCATGCATCATGTAGTGTGCATTGTGCATCCGTAAACAATATTACATTCTCTACTTCTTCTCAAAAACCCTTGAACTGATATCAGTGAAATTTTGCAGAAACCTTCCCTTGCATAAGATGAACCAAAATTGCAAATTATACAGTCCCCACACCACAGGGGCCTGAGGGGCAGGGCCAAAAGGGGTCAAATTGACTTAGATTTCAAAACATTTCTTCTCAACACTCAGTTACAGTAGAATCAAATATTCTTCATGGATAGAATCATCTTAAAGTGCTTTACCAAAATTGTGAATTTCATGGCCCAAGGGTTTCCCTGTGAGGAGGGGGTAAAGTTTACTATAGTGTATATAGGAAAACTAGATTTTAGTAGAATCTTTCAGCCTCTTAGTATTAAGATAGACATGTATTGACACTGGCTTACTATATTCAGTGACACAATTTCTTTCTCATGACTCTTGAAAGCTACCCTTTAACCTTTATATTCAATATTGCTTATCCCATGTGATCATCAATGCCATTAGGCTTATTGTTGTTACTTATTGCTTATACAAGTGATTTTCTTTCCTTTAAATTTTGTTCAACCCTTTCAGTGGAGTTATTAAACCATTTGCCAATAGGAGACACAAACACATTACTACGACATACACTAGGAATATACATAGATCATTTGTGAAATGAGATAAGATTTTATGGGTGAACTTAGAATTGTGTTTAGAGTTTGTCTTCTTTTTAATGCATCTGGTGTACCAGTGCATAGCTTTAAAAACAAAGTTAAGGTTTTGATCTATAGGCAGTATTAGGTATCATTTGTTGATTTAGTTATCCATGAAAGATTTAACATTCAGTGGAATTATGTCAGCTACCTGTGGGACAACTGCATGAGTGGTGACTAGCTGATGGTGGTACAAATATGGATTAGTGGTGACTAGCTGATGGTGGTACAAATATGGATTAGTGGTGATTAGCTGATGGTGGTACAAATATGGATTAGTGGTGACTGGCTAGATGGTGGTACAAATATGGATTAGTGGTGACTAGCTTGATAGTGGTACAAATGTGGATTAGTGGTGACTAGCTGGATGGTGGTACAAATATGGATTAGTGGTGACTTGCTGGATGGTGGTACAAATATGGATTAGTGGTGACGAGCTGGATAGTCCTACAAATATGGATAAGTAATCTAGCTGAATTGCTAAATTCACGAGATTCAAACACTTTGATTTTAATAGAAGAGCACATTACTGTATAGTGCTGTGTCAACTGTTCAGTTAAACAAATAGCAGGATGATCTGAATTAAGGACCAGGGTCTGTCAGTCAGGACTTACAGAAATGGAAGTTCATGATAACAACCATGAGGCTATCGACACTGATGACAGAAGGGCTCTGACTGTTATAAATATCAAAATTTTATTTCAGAAATGGAAAAAGCAAATTGTTAATAGGTAAATTTTTTGTACCCACCCAAAGATTTGTCACTTTTGCCAATGAAGGTATGGGTTCACCTTCAGTGTGTATTACTTGCTGCTCTATATACTATGTCAGGTGTATCCAGATTTTAAA